TCTCTTCTCTCTGTTTTGAGTCATTTGACCAATCCCCTCCTCTCTCCTATTTGTTTGGAGTCATTTGTCCAATCCCCTCCTCTCTCCTATTTGTTTTGAGTCATTTGACCAATCCCCTCCTCTCTCTCTGTTTTGAGTCATTTCACCTATCCCCTCCTCTCTCCTCTTTGTTTCGACTCATTTGACCAATCCCCTCCTCTCTCCCCTCAGTTTTGAGTCTTTTCACCAATCCCCTCCTCCTCTTTGTTTTGAGTCATTTGACCAATCCCCTCGTCTCTCCCCTCTGTTTTGAATCATTTGACCAATCCCCTCGTCTCTCCCCTCTGTTCTGAGTCATTTGACCAATCCCCTCTTCTCTCCCCTCTGTTTTGAGCCATCTGACCAATCCCCTCCCCTCTCCCCTTTGTTTTGAGTAATTTGACCAATACCTTCCTCTCTCCTCTTTGTTTTGAGTCATTTGACCAATCCCCTCCTCTCTCCCCTCTGTTTTGAGTCATTTGACCAATCCCCTCCTCTCTCCTCTTTGTTTTGAGACATTTGACCAATCCCCTCCTCTCTTCCCCCTGTTTTGAGTCATTTGACCAATCCCCTACTCTCTCCCCTCTGTTTTGAGTAATTTGACCAATCCCCTCTTCTCTCCTCTTTGTTTTGAGTCATTTGACCAATCCCCTCCTCTCTTCCCCCTGTTTTGAGTCATTTTACCAATCCCCTACTCTCTCCCCTCTGTTTTGAATCATTTGACCAATCCCCTCATCTCTCCTATTCGTTTTGAGTCATTTAACCAATTCCATCCTCTCTCCTCTTTGTTTCGAGTCATTTCACCAATCCCCTCCTCTCTCTCCTCTTTGTTTTGAGTCATTTGACCAATCCCCTCCTCTCTCCCCTCAGTTTTGAGTCATTTCACCAATCCCCTCCTCTCTCCTCTCTGTTTTGAGTCATTTGACCAATCCCCTCCTCTGTCATATTTGTTTTGAGTCATTTGACAAATCCCCTCCTCTCTCCCCTCTGTTTTGAATCATATGACTAATCCCCTCCTCTCTCCCCTCTGTTTTGAGTCATTTGACCAATCCCCTCTTCTCTCCCCTCGGTTTGAGCCATTTGACCAATCCCCTCCTCTCTCCTCTTTGTTTTGAGTCATTTGACGAATCCCCTCCTCTCTCCTATTTGTTTTGAGTAATTTGACCAATCCCCTCCTCTCTCTTTGTTTTGAGTCATTTCACCTATCCCCTCCTCTCTCCTCTTTGATTTGACTCATTTGACCAATCCCCTCCTCTCTCCCCTCAGTTTTGAGTAATTTGACCAATCCCCTCCTCTCTCCTCTTTGTTTTGAGTAATTTGACCAATCCCCTCCTCTCTCCTCTTTGTTTTGAGTCATTTGACCAATCCCCTCCTCTCTCCCCTCTGTTTTGAATCATTTGACCAGTCCCCTCCTCTCTCCCCTCTGTTTTGAGTCATTTGACCAATCCCCTCCTCTCTCCCCTCTGTTTTGAATCATTTGACCAGTCCCCTCCTCTCTCCCCTCTGTTTTGAATCATTTGACTAATCCCCTCCTCTCTCCCCTCTGTTTTGAGTCATTTGACCAATCCCCTCTTCTCTCCCCTCGGTTTTGAGCCATTTGACCAATCCTCTCCTCTCTCCTCTTTGTTTTGAGTCATTTGACTAATCCCCTCCTCTCTCCTCTTTGTTTTGAGTCATTTGACCAATCCCCTCCTCTCTCCCCTATGTTGTGAATCATTTGACCAGTCCCCTCCTCTCTCCCCTCTGTTTTGAGTCATTTGACCAATCCTTTCTTCTCTCCCCTCTGTTTTGAGCCATTTGACCAATCCCCTCCTCTCTCCTCTTTGTTTTGAGTCATTTCACCAATCCCCTCCTCTCTCCCCTTTGTTTTGAGTCATTTGACCAATCCCTTCCTCTCTCCTCTTTGTTTTGAGTCATTTGACCAATCCCCTCCTCTCTCCCCTCTGTTTTGAGTCATTTGACCAATCCCCTCCTCACTCCTCTTTGTTTTGAGTCATTTGACCAATCCCCTCCTCTCTTCCCCCTGTTTTGAGTCATTTGACCAATCCCTTACTCTCTCCCCTCTGTTTTGAGTCCTCTGACCAATCCTCTCCTCTCTCCTCTGTTTTGAGTCATTTGACCAATCCCCTCCTCTCTCCTATTTGTTTTGAGTCATTTAACCAATTCCCTCCTCTCTCCTCTTTGTTTTGAGTCATTTGACAAATCCCCTCCTCTCTCCCCTCTGTTTTGAGTCATTTGACCAACGCCTCATCTCCCCTCCCCTCCCCTCTCCTCCCTCCCTCCCTCCCTCCCTCCCTCCCTCCCTCCCCGTGTTTCAGCAGCTGCCAGCGGGGCGTGACAGTGCAGCACGGGGCGGGGCAGGCTGACGTGCACGCCCACGTGGTAAGAGCGAACCAGAACGATGCATGAATGTATGAACACAAAAGCAAAACAATGTACTAGGGCACATAAAAATCATGTGCCTTCTCATTCCCTCAAGGTGCCGTGCCGTTCCCTGCATGATGCCTTCTCATTCCTTGCATGATGCCATTTTCCTCCCCTTTCCAGCAGGTGCCAGTGCAAGGCATAATGTTTTGAGGTGTCACACTCAACACCTCCCCTCTGTCCTCCCGTTTCCAGCAGGTGCCAGTGTAGCGCATGTTGATTGAAGAGGTCTCACTCACCCCGTCCCCTCTTTCCATCCCAATATTTCCTGTTTGTTTGTTTGTTTGTCTGTTTCAGTTTGTTTTGCTTGCTTGTTTGTTGTTCCTGTGTGCATTCTTTGCTCAAGGGGGGGGTGTAAGGGGGCATGGGGAACTGTGAGACGTCCAAGCCACCCTCTCCCCTCCCCTTTCTGCCAGCTGCCAGTGCAGCGCCTGCCCATTTGAGCTTGTCTCACCCACCCCCTCCCCTCTTTTCCCACTTTACCCCTTCTGCCAGGTGCCTTCTCATGCCCTGCAAGGTGCCTTCGCATGTTGCACGGTGCCTTCACATGCCCTGCATGGTGCCTGTTCATGCCCTGGCTGGTGGGTTGCATTCCCTGCATGGTGACTTTCATTTCCTGCCAGGTAAGGGGGTAAGGGGGTTTAGGGTGCTCCCCCCGCTCACTTGCCCTGCTCCCCCCACTCACTTGCTCTGCTCCCCCACCCCAACTCCTCCCCTCCCCTTGCGCAGGTGCCAGTTTCTCCTGTCGCCAAGATGAAGATACTTTGCACAGGGAGCAGATGCGTTGCCAGCTGCTTGTGCGGCCGTCCCTCATCATCCATGCGCGGGACATGAGAGAGAACAAGGGAGAGAAACAGAAGCAGGAGGAGGGAGCGCAGCGCCATGCCATGCTGCATGGCCCACCAAACCGGCCCCAGGTGCGTTGTGAGTCGCCCCAGAGCATGCACTGCACACCTTGCCATATCCCTCACACCTGCCATCCCACCATGCCCTCACACCTCCTGCCATCCCCTCACTTGCCCTGCTCCCCCCGCTCACTTGCTCCGCTTCCCCTCTCCCCCACCCCAACTCCCCCCCTCCCCTTGCGCAGGTGCCAGCTTCCCACCTGTCGCCAAGACGAAGACACTTGGCTTGCAATGTGTAGAGTGGTAGGGATTGATGAATCTGATTACGTTAGGAACATAAATGTATGAGCCTGTTATTAGATGTGCAGGGGGATGGGGGGAGTGCAGGTTTGGTTTGGGCCAGGTTTGGGATATGAAAGAGTGGCAGAAACGGAATCAGGGAGTAGATGTGTTGCCACCTGCTTGTGTTCAGCCATGCGCAGGGCAGGACATGAGGGAGAAGAAGAGAGAGAAACAGACGCACAAGGAGGGAGCGCATGTGCCATTTTCTTCTGTCTACAACACGAGGCTATTTGCTACGACGCGTAGAGTGATAGATGACTTATAGATTTGATGACCTAGCGAATATGAATGTATGTGCTTGTTATTATATACGCAGGCGGGCAGAGAAAGGGGGGAGGGGTGAGGGAAAAGGGAGGAGAGTGGGGAGCAGAAGCAGAACAGAAGAGGGAGTGGTGGATGAGCTCTTGGCTCTCTGTGCTGTGCGCCCATCCCTGGTTGGCCATGCCATGCCATGCCATGCCCGGGAGGGATATGATAGATAGTAGGAAGCACAAAGTAGACGCAGAAGCAGGAATGTGATATGACAGGGAGCAGATATGCATGGGCCATGCCCAGGGATTTCCAGGGCGGTTCGAGGGGGGCTGTGAGGGGCTGTGAGGAGAATTGGGGGGTAGGGGGGCCTTAGGGGGGCCTTGGGGGGGCTGTGGGGGGGTTTTTTCAGGATTTTAGGGGGGTTTTCTTCCCCTCTCTTGTACCCCATTTCTGCTTATTAACCAATCACAAGCAAGCTTTCTGCCATCACCTTTCCGATTACGCTCATGTTGTCGCCTTGCCGCCTGAGGAGGGGGAGGGGAGTAAGGGGGGAAGGGAGAGGAGAGCAGAAGGGAGAGCAAGGGGGGATGAGAGAGACGATATGCGCTGCTTGTTTTGATTTGCACACAGAAGGAGAGTGTGAGAAGGAGAGTGAGAGAAGGAGGGTGTGAGAAGGAGAGTGTGAGAAGGAGTGCCATACAGTGAAGTACTCGGGTATCTTGGGCACTGCAAAGCAGAAGCGTTGCAAGGAATGTGATCAAGATGATCCAGGTGGTCCGGGGCCCTCCTCCTGAAAAACGTATGTCAAGATGTTGACCAGAGTGGGAGCCAGGGCAGTGTATGTAAGGGGTGGTGTATGTAGGGGTGGGCAGGGCAGGTGCAAACGTAGGGGATAATGAGTGACAGAAACTGAAGGGAGAGTGAGAATTGAATCAAAGAGGGGGAGAAAGAAGAAAACTGGCACAAGTTCACTACAGGTAGGCAGGATAAGTGACCAGCACAGGGGGGTGAAGTGACAAGGGCAGGGGGGTGAAGTGACAAGGGCAGGGGGGTGAAGTGACAAGGGCAGGGGGGTGAAGTGACAAGGGCAGGGGGGTGAAGTGATGAGACGTGCTTTCCTCACACCCACTGCCCCACACCCACTGCCCCACACCCACTGCCCCACACCCACTGCCCCACACCCACTGCCCCACACCCACTGCCTCACTCCCACTGCCCCACACCCACTGCCCCACACCCACTGCCCCACACCCACTGCCTCACACCCACTGCCCCACACCCACTGCCCCACACCCACTGCCCCACACCCACTGCCCCACACCCACTGCCCCACACCCACTGCCCCACACCCACTGCCCCACACCCACTGCCCCACACCCACTACCCCACACCCACCGAGTGGCTGACTGCTGGGTGGCCTTGGCATCATGCCGCAGCACCGCCTCTGCCAACTCACACGGCGACACCCTTCCCTGCTCTCCCCCTGCCTCCCCTTTCTCCCCCTCCCCTCCCTGTCCCTCCTTCTCCGGTTCCTTCTCTCCTCCTCCTGTAACCTCTTCCTCCTGCTCTTTCTCCTGCTCCTTTTCCCCGGCCTTATCCCCCTCCTTCCCCTCCTTGTCTCCTTCACCCTTCTCCTCCTCCTTTTCCCCTTCCTCCGTCTTCCCCACCTCCTCCTTCTCACCCTCCTCCTCCTTCTCCTCTCCCTCCTCCAACTGCTTTCCTCCCTTCTCTCCCTTCCCCCCCTTCCTGGCATCCTCTCTAATCCTCACGAACAGCAGTGCCTTGCACCCAGACTCCACACTCACGAACCGAGGCTGAGGGACGTCAAGGGGCGGGCGAATGGTAGGGGCAAGGGGAGGGAGAAAGACGAGTGGAGGGAGAAAGACGAGCGGAGGGAGAGGAGACGTGATTGGAAATTGCACTGAGCATTCTCACGAACAGCAGCGCCTTGCACCCAGAGTCCACACTCGCGAACCAAGGCTGTGGGATGTCGAGGGGAGGGCGAACAGCAGGGGCAAGGGGAGGGAGAAAGACGAGCAGAGAAAGGGGAGTGAGAGGGAGAGGGAGGGGTGATGATGGATCCTCAGAAACAGCGGCGCCTTGCACCTAGACTCCACACTCACAAACCGAGGCTGAGAGGGAAGGGGAGGGACAAGACGAGGGACAAAGGAAAAAAAAAAAAAGTTTTTTCTCAAACAGCAGTGCCTTGCACCCAGACTCCACACTCACAAACCGAGGCTGAGGGATGTCAAGGGGCGGGCGAACAGGAGGGGCGAGGGGAGGGCAAACGGTAGGGGCAAGGGGAGGGAGAAAGACGATGGGAGAGAGAGGAGGAGCGATAAGGGTTTCCACTTAGCATTCTCGCAAACAGCGGCGTCTTGCAGCCAGCAAGAGTCCAAACAGCAGCGCCTTGCAGCCAGCGAGACTCCACACCCCGAAGTGAGACCAGGTGAGAGCGTTCAGTCAGGTGACTTTTGAGTCGACTCAAAAGTCACCAGGTGAGAGCGTTCAGGACAAGGGGAGGGACAAGACGAGGGGCAAGGGGAGGAAGAGGGAGGGAAAAGAGGATTGCGAGAGAGGGAAGTGATGGGTGTTTGTGCTGGGCATTTATGCGAACAGCAGCGCCTTGCACCCAGACTACACACTCATGAACCGAGGCTGAGGGGCATGCACAAGGAAGTGAGGGAGAAGAGAAAGGAGGGAACAAGGAGGCGAGGATGCACAAGGGGAACAAAACAGGGGCACCTGGTAGCCTGAGACGTCTCAAAACAGGGGCACCTGGTAGCCTGAGACGTCTCAAAACAGGGGCACCTGGTAGCCTGAGACGTCTCAAAACAGGGGCACCTGGTAGCCTGAGGTCACGATTGCAATCGAGCCTGGGGGACACAGGGAGAGGGAGGGATACGAGGGGAGGGAGTGGGAGGGAGATAAGGGGAGGGTGAAGGAACAACAAGGGGAAAGGAGGGAAAAGGCACCCACCTACCCATCCCACGCACCTGTGAGCCGCTGCAAAACACACACACCTGTTTCCTCAACCCCCTCTCCACACGCACGCACCTGTTTCTTGAGTGCTGCCACTTCATTCGCCAGCAGCGCATCGATGGACGAACCCCCCTTCGCCTTCCCTGCAGATGCACCTTCCCCAGTCCGTGCCTCCCCCTCCCCCTCCCCCTGCGCCTTGCCAGCCTCCAGCTTGTCACACCACTGTGTGTGGGGCAAACAGGGATAAAGCAACATCATCTCAGTCAGATAAGCCCTCCCCAGCCACCTTCCCCAGTGCTTGCCTCCCCCTCAGCCCGCACCTTCATGGGCACCAGATTGTCGCTCAACGGTGTGTGGGGCAAGCAGTGGAGATGGAAGGAGTAGGAACAACATCAGCTCAGTTAGAAAAGCCCTCCCCAGCCACCTTCCCCAGTGCTTGCCTCACCCTACCCGTTCCTCTGCGCCTTGCTGCCTCCAGCTTGTCACACCACTGTGTGTGGGGCGAACAGAGGAGAAAGCAACATCAGCTCAGTCAGATAAGCCCTCCCCAGCCACCTTCCCCAGTGCTTGCCTCCCCCTCAGCCCGCGCCTTCACGGGCACCAGCTTGCCGCCGCACAACGGCGTGTGGGGCAAGCAGGGGAGATGGAAGGAAGAAAAGCAAAAACAGCTCAGTCAGATAGGCCCTCCACAACCACTTTCCCCAGTGCTTGCCCAGTCATCTATCTACCTACCCTCCAGGTTCTATCGTTTGCCTGTGCGCTCCACTCACCTCCTTGCCACCTCACCTCATCAAGCTGATCCCCTGTGCATGTCACCTCACAAGCTGATCTCCTGATCACCTCTTACCACCCCCCCCACCCCTCCTCTCCCTCACTGTGTGCTCGTGCCTCACCTCATCGAGCACGTTCACAATCTCCCGCCCGCACTCTCTCTCCCTGCCGGTCACACTCGACACCAGCCACCCCCTGCTGCCATTCGCGATAGGGCCCGCTCCCCCTCCACTCTGAGGCGCACGAGAGGGAGGCGCCGAAGAGGGAAGGAGGAGGATCAAAGGAACAATTTACTTTGTTTCGACTCCAACAACAACAAGCCCGCACTCTCTCTCCCTGCTGGTCACACTCCACACCAGCCACCCCCTGTTGCCATTCGCGATGGGGCCCGCTCCCCCTCCACTCTGAGGCGCACGAGAGGGAGGAGCAGAAGGGGGAGGGGCACGAGGGGGAGGGGCGGAGCAGAAGGAGCAGAGGGGGGAGGAGCAGAAGACGGAGGAGCAGAGGGGGGAGGAGAAGAATGGGGAGGAGGAGAAGGGGGAGGAGGAGAAATGAGGGAGGGGAGAAGGGTGAGGAGGAACAGCAGGTGGGGGCACAGAAGGGAGAGGAGGAGAGGAGCAGAAGGGGGGGGAGCAGAAGTAAGAAACGGTTGCAAACCACCTCCAATCCCTCCCCCTGCCAGCCCCCTTGCTGCCATACATTCTGGGCGCCGCCTTCTCCCCATTCTGGATCATAGGGTTTAGGGTGAAGGAGCAAAGGAAGAAACAATCGATCCTTCACCTGCACTCTCGCTCCCTGCCTGCTGCTGCCCGCCGCCACTTCGAAAGAGGAGATCGAGGTTGGGGTTTTGGGTGCATGGGAGAGAGCGAGCAACAACAAAGGGTTTCGGGTTTTGGGTGCATGGGAGAGAGCGAGCAACAACCAAGAGTTTCGGGTTTTGGTTGCATGGCAACGGAGATTCGTGGGCCGGGATGTGGGAGGGAAGAGAGACGGCGGGGGTGGGGGGAGGGGAAGGGGGACAGCAGGGGTGGGGGGAGGGGAAGGGGGACAGCGGGCGACACGGGCCGGACGGGTGAGGACCAGAGGAGAGAGGCGACGGCGGGAAAATCCGCTCTGTGTAAGACCAAGTGCTCAAAGCGATATCAGGACCAGAGGGGAGAGGCGACAGCGGAAAAATCTGCTCTGTGTAAACCTAAGTGATCAAGGCGATCTGAGGACCAGAGGGGAGAGGCGGCGCCGTGGGAGCACACGATGGGAGGAGGAGAAGAGAAGGGGGGAGGGAAGACGGAGGTGTGTGCGCGAGCGGGAGGAGAGGGCACGAAAGGAAAGGGGGGGAAGGGGTTGAAGAGGAAGGGCGGGAAGTGGGGCGGATCGGGCTGGTGAGCGCACGCCGCCGCGGAGATCACAGCGGCGACGCCGCCAAGATCATAGCAGCGGCGACGCGCAACGGATGCTGCCGCGACTCGCGACCGAAACGCGACTGAACGCGCCTGCAGAATTGTCGCTGATTATCGTCGTTATTCGTCTGTCAGCCAAGAAAAACATTGGTACACGCCTGCCGGCGGTTTATGTTGACTAATGCGTCGCGACATAAGTTTAAAGGCTCACAGCGTTCAGGTATCGCGACTTGTGCCGCTTCGATTTCCCCCGACCTCCATTACCGCTCCGATTGCCCTCCGCCTCGCGCTTTCCGCGACCCATGTGCGATTGTATGGCCGTGGCTACTGATCAAACGAGAAAAACGCTCAATGGCTGATTTGCACATCAACGGATAGTATACAACTAAACACCATCGCTGTCAGGACCAGTAGCACAGACCTTCCAATCAATGTTTGATCAACGGGTTCAATACCCGTCGGTCCTTTTGTTTTATCCACCTCTCAAGGCTCCGTTTCCATTCAAATCATATCTAAAGGTGTTTTCTTACTGCTCTGGGGCATTCTTCTTTCATATCATACTCGTCGTCGCATCCCTTCTTACTGTAAGCCTCAGCCATCTTGACTGGTTTTTTCCGGACGTGCTTGTCGTCTACACCTTCGTTGTGTTGCTTCGTTGGTGTAGAAGATTTTTCTTTACTGGCACACCTCGACCACCACACTGGCACGCCCCATGCCCTGTCACCTCACCCATGTGCTCTACAGTAGGGCTACTGGCGTCACGCCCCACCACCAGCACCAGGCTATCAGCAGCGAGTCCAGCACCCACACACCCCGTGCCCTGCTCTGCTGCACCACTCACCTGCTCTGCCGCACCACTCACCTGCTCTGCTGCACCACTCACCTGCTCTGCTGCACCACTCACCTGCTCTGCTGCACCACTCACCTGCTCTGCCGCACCACTCACCTGCTCTGCTGCACCACTCACCTGCTCTGCTGCACCACTCACCTGCTCTGCTGCACCACTCACCTGCTCTGCTGCACCACTCACCTGCTCTGCCGCACCACTCACCTGCTCTGCCGCACCACTCACCTGCTCTGCCGCACCACTCAGCCTGCTCTGCTGCACCACTCACCTGCTCTGCCGCACCACTCACCTGCTCTGCCGCACCACTCACCTGCTCTGCCGCACCACTCACCTGCTCTGCTGCACCACTCACCTGCTCTGCTGCACCACTCACCTGCTCTGCTGCACCACTCACCTGCTCTGCTGCACCACTCACCTGCTCTGCCGCACCACTCACCTGCTCTGCCGCACCACTCACCTGCTCTGCCGCACCACTCACCTGCTCTGCCGCACCACTCACCTGCTCTGCCGCACCACTCACCTGCTCTGCCGCACCACTCACCTGCTCTGCCGCACCACTCACCTGCTCTGCCGCACCACTCACCTGCTCTGCCGCACCACTCACCTGCTCTGCTGCACCACTCACCTGCTCTGCCGCACCACTCACCTGCTCTGCGCACCACTCACCTGCTCTGCCGCACCACTCACCTGCTCTGCCGCACCACTCACCTGCTCTGCCGCACCACTCACCTGCTCTGCCGCACCACTCACCTGCTCTGCTGCACCACTCACCTGCTCTGCCGCACCACTCACCTGCTCTGCCGCACCACTCACCTGCTCTGCTCTGCCGCACCACTCACCTGCTCTGCTGCACACTCACCTGCTCTGCCTGCACCATCACCTGCTCTGCCGCACCACTCACCTGCTCTGCCGCACCACTCACCTCTCTGCCGCACCACTCACCTGCTCTGCCGCACCACTCACCTGCCTCTGCCGCACCACTCACCTGCTCTGCCGCACCACTCACCTGCTCTGCCGCACCACTCACCTGCTCTGCCGCACCACTCACTCCTGCTCTGCCCGCACCACTCACCTGCTCTGCCTGCACCACTCACCTGCTCTGCCTGCACCACTCACCTGCTCTGCCGCACCACTCACCTGCTCTGCCTGCACCACTCACCTGCTCTGCTGCACCACTCACCTGCTCTGCCGCACCACTCACCTGCTCTGCCGCACCACTCACCTGCTCTGCCGCACCACTCACCTGCTCTGCCTGCACCACTCACCTGCTCTGCCGCACCACCCACCTGCTCTGCCGCACCACCCACCTGCTCTGCCGCACCACTCAACCTGCTCTGCCGCACCACTCACCTGCTCTGCCGCACCACTCACCTGCTCTGCCGCACCACTCACCTGCTCTGCCGCACCACTCACCTGCTCTGCCGCACCACTCACCTGCTCTGCCGCACCACTCACCTGCTCTGCCGCACCACTCACCTGCTCTGCCGCACCACTCACCTGCTCTGCCGCACCACTCACCTGCTCTGCCGCACCACTCACCTGCTCTGCCGCACCACCCACCTGCTCTGCCGCACCACTCACCTGCTCTGCCGCACCACTCACCTGCTCTGCCGCACCACTCACCTGCTCTGCCGCACCACTCACCTGCTCTGCCGCACCACTCACCTGCTCTGCCGCACCACTCACCTGCTCTGCCGCACCACTCACCTGCTCTGCCGCACCACTCACCTGCTCTGCCGCACCACTCACCTGCTCTGCCGCACCACTCACCTGCTCTGCCGCACCACTCACCTGCTCTGCCGCACCACTCACCTGCTCTGCCGCACCACTCACCTGCTCTGCCGCACACTCACCTGCTCTGCCGCACCACTCACCTGCTCTGCCGCACCACTCACCTGCTCTCCGCACCACTCACCTGCTCTGCCGCACCACTCACCTGCTCTGCCGCACCACTCACCTGCTCTGCCGCACCACTCACCTGCTCTGCCGCACCACTCACCTGCTCTGCCGCACCACTCACCTGCTCTGCCGCACCACTCACCTGCTCTGCCGCACCACTCACCTGCTCTGCCGCACCACTCACCTGCTCTGTCGCACCACTCACCTGCTCTGCCGCACCACTCACCTGCTCTGCCGCACCACTCACCTGCTCTGCCGCACCACTCACCTGCTCTGCCGCACCACTCACCTGCTCTGCCGCACCACTCACCTGCTCTGCCGCACTGCCGCACCACTCACCTGCT